AAAAGTTACCCAGTTTAAGCTTAAAATGATAAAACATGTTAACCAGTTTAGAGTAGGCAATGCCTTACAGACCTGATGTAAAAATGTAAAACCGAAAGACATATTTACAAAAAAGTAAAAAAAAAAAAAATTCTATTAAACAATTGGATTTATTATTATTATTATTATTAATTTCTGTAAGCAAAACAAAAAAACAGTACATATCCCAACAGCTTTTCCCACCGATTAGAATATAAATAGAAAACATGAACACCAAAGGCCAGTTATTGAAACCTTAAAAATGTGGTTTATGTTATTAAACCAGGACAGGACTGGCATAGAAAACAAGCAGTGACTTTATTCTACTTTCAATATTTCGTCCACTTCTTCTACACTACAAACATGGAAATAAGAGCATTATAAGAGCATTTTTTTAAGTGGAAGGGGTAAGTGAGACACTTTGCCAGAAGAAAGAAACAACAAAATTCAAGTGCATATTATCAAACATTCTTATTTCAAGAGACAAAATACTCCTTTTGCAAATCATCTTATTTAACTGCTCAAATTAAGGATAATTACACATTTATTTCTAGATTGTTTTTGCAGTTTTTCGCTGCTTGAATCCAGAAACATTTTCACAATGCAGAATAAAAACAAGCAAGTTTTTCTTTATTTTCATTATTACCAGTCAGTCCTGCATCGCTTTGGTGTCATTTTCAGCCAAGGCATTAAAAAAAGAACACAAACCCCTGGATGAGGGTGAATATGACCTCTGACCTTCATGCCCTTCATTGGACTAAATCTTAGAAAATGATAGAATCAGGTCATTATAGATAGAGAACGTTAAATAAGGAACTATCAACTGAAATAAATCTCATTAAACTATTTAGATCGAGCTTTTAAAACCAAAATAATTTCTGATCTTTGCCCCTTCATGAATTTCAGACAAGCTTTCCAATAAGATAGCAAAGCTATTGTGAAACCTCCTGGAATGATGACCCTGCACTGCTGAGAGCGATGGCCGTCAGAGAGAAGAAGGGAAGAACGTTCAGCTTGGATGGATCTGCTCCGTAGAAACCCAGAGCCGCCTGCACGGCACCAACAGCAGCCTTTTCCCTCTCAGGTTAGAGCCCAGGCTCTTCATCTTAAAATCCCCGTCCTGTCCCGTCTGTAGAAATGGGACGTCCTCTCCTTTGCTTTACGTCTTACAAGGAGCTCCTTCCTCTGCCTGCAGTTATACAGAAAACATTTAGAGGGATGAGCCCTTTGATCTTTGGGATCTGCTCTGTCTTTATAAACGCTGTGAGCAGATCAGTGCGTTTGGGAGGAGAACAGGTTTAACAGAGACCTACAGAGGAACATTTACCTGTCTATGCAGAAGCTCCTGCAGTCTGAGTCCGTCTGCAGCCTGCATGCACAGCGCCTCGCCACGGCCCCATTCCTGCTCCTCTGGGCAGAGCGCTTCAGGCGCAGGGAGCCTGAGTCACTGGACATCCCATAGGGTACAGTATGCCTGCCAACATCAACACATGGTTACCATGTTGGTCTGGGCCTTTAGGTTCTCCAGATGAACAGCAGTTATAGCTTTTCTAAGGTTCAAATGATGACATCACATTCTTTTTCAGCTGTGTGAATAAATCAGAAATCCAAATATACAGAAATCTAAGCAAAAATAATTTCCTCTGAAACTGATCTGATTTTCTACTTTGCTAACGCTTAGCTTCAGTTTAGGATTTGGCCTTCATGGCTTCTAACCATGCTGTACCTTTTAGCACCATCTCCCAGGAAGTGGGATGGTGCTAAAGGAGGTTATAAACCTTTCATGGATTTTTTTGCTGCAGACAGCTGAACGTTGTGATGAAGCATGTGTTCAATGTCATGACCAAAGGCTGCCATCGGTCTAATGCATAAGAAGACCTAGAGAACCACAGTCTTTGTGTTGGGATCTGGAGGTCTGTCCACTTTTCTCCACCAGAGGGCATTCTAGGTCTCCTGGAGCTGGAGCTGATTGCACCACCTGTTACTCGTTTGCTCATCAGGAGACCAGTTTATAAGGAGGCAGAGGACATCACTCCAGTGCCAGAGTGTTTGCCAGTTATGGTTAGCAAGCCTGAGCCAACCTGCCTGTCTGAATCTCTGACTCCCAGAAAACCTGAACCTAAACTGTTTTTGTCTTCTCTGCTTCCCAGGTTGAACCTGCCTGAAACTAGAAACCCAGAAGAGTTTCTCTGTTGGAAATCTGTCTGTCTGATCTCTGAAGAACCCTGGAGAATCAAACCTGTCAAAGACCTGCCTGCCCGCTCTCTGAAGAATCTGGAAGGGAAACTCAAATCTGTGATCTGCAAACACTCAAACCAAGCTCTGCCTCCTCCAAGCCCTCAGCCTGCCGACGGCCTCTGGACCCTCCTGGTTCCCCCCCTCTGCCGCTCTGCTCAAACTCCAGAATAGGTACAGACCTGCACTCACATCCTGCAAAGTACCTGGACATCTGCTAACCCCTCGGTCCCCCTCTGCAGTGAACCCAGTCCTGGATCTGATTACCCCTTGGATCAGTTTATTATCTTTCTGTGTTTATTCAATAAACCTTTGAACTTTTTTCCTGTGTCCGTGTGTTCTGCATGTGGGTTAGGAACCTTAAACCAAACATGACACTTTGATACACTTTGATCTGCCATCGCATTATTTTTGATGGCAGATTTTTAGCAGAACTTCATAAACCTTTTTTTAAAGCGTTAGTCCTCTAAATTTATCACTCCAGCACTTCAAGATGCATTTCTGCAAACTTAGCCACTTTGTTGTTGTATTCAGTCCATTTTCAGACTCTTACAGTACAGAAAATGAGCTAAGCTTCTACTGATGAGCCTGGATTAGAAAGCTTGGGTCCGTTTAACGAAACAGGTGTAACAAATTCAGATTCAAATCCGCAATTCAGGAACTTTGAGTTTTCAGTTTCACAACGGCTGCTGTGAATTAGTTCAACCCACTCCAAGTAGGTCAAGTAAACGGCTTGCCATAGCCAGTTGTGACCAAGATAATGCTAGAGATTTATTTCTTGAAATGTGGCGGGTAGCTATTTAGGTGGAATCCCATGGCAGCAGGTGAAGATGAAGAATAAAAACGTTTTTCTAATAGTTTGAACCTGTTCATCATCTAATGGGTTCTCGGTTTGATTCTGTCTCTGTTTACACAGTATATACTAAGTATCTGTTTGCAGCCACTTCAGATGTTATGTTATGTCATAATAATATGTGTGTTATTATCCCAGTAAATGGTTGTTATTAGCAGCTATCAGTCTCATAGAATGCAGATTGTGCCAGTAGGCTCATTAGGTTCTTATCATCGAGTGAATCCTAATCTGAAAATGCAATAATTTAATCTGAAAATAATTTTAGTAGTTCTTCACTTACTGTTAAGATAAATGAAAATAAAGCGATTCTATCTTCTGCAGGAGAGTAGATCAGTGTCACTGATAACAGTTGAGAAAGAGGAAGAGGAAAGAAGCGGCCTCTGTTCTGAAACATGTCTGCAGAAGATAGGGGGGACTTCATGGACAAGAAGCTGTTCCTGAGCTGATGTTAGACATGTCCAGAGGGCCTGAATAAAAAAAAAAAACACCCTGGGATCTAAAGAGAGATTCTGAAGATGCAGCAGCATCTGGGTTCTGGAGGAACAGCAACCTCTGTTTGGATCTGAGGTTTTAACCGACAAGTAACGGATGACCAGATGCTGTCCCTCGTTCACTCGCACCGTCACTCATCCAGAAGGACTGAAAAGAACATCTTCTTCCAAAGAACTAAAGTGAGGTCAGAGTGGACCTCGGGTATTCAGCCGGTCTGCAGACTGAGGGGTTTTAAATGGACACCAAACAGGTTAGGAACTGAGAACGGGGAGCAGCAGATCAGAGTGGAAGCAAAGATCCTTCATCTAACCTCTGCAAAAACTGGATCTGATTTCAGGCACCTGCTTTAAATTCAACTTTGGCATTGAACTTGTTGGGATCCTCAGGCTTGCCCACCAGAGGGCGCCGAGGATCCTCTTTTGTTTTATGTTGTTTTCTGTTAGGACTGGGGTTACTGTTGGGATCTGGAGAGTTACCATCTGTCTCCAGCAGAGTGCGCTGTGGGTCTCCTGGGCTGGAGCCCTCCAGCACACCTGACGCTCATCAGCCCATCAGGAGACCTTCCTATTTAACCAGTGGCCAGACCTTCCTTCAACGCCGGAGTGTTGACCAACTTTAGTTAGCGAACCTGAGCCTCTGTCATTTTAGAGAATCTTAGTTGGCTCAAGAGAGAAACTAGATTCTAACCTGCCTTTGTCTTCTTTGCTCACAGGAAACCTAGAACCCCTTAATGAGCTCTGCCTGGAAACCTGCCAGCCAGCCCAAGGAAGCCAAACCATAAGATATCAGTCTGGGTTCCTCCTACAGCTCTCAAGGAAGAGCCAGGAAACCGAGTCAAGGTCAGAAACTCACAAGTCAGAAGCTAGACGCTGCTGCTGCTGAACTCCCTACTGAAACCATAGTCTCTGGACCCAACCGGTTCCCCCCCTCTCAAAGGATCTGCCAGAACCTCTCCAAGGTACAGACTAAAGCCCCATTTACACTACCCTTGAAAAACCGATCCAGGCCGAGACCGGTCCGAGCTTGGATCGGTAACCAGGCCAAGCTCAGTTTTGACGACCGTTCACACGTCACACTTATCTCGGTTATCTCGACGCCTCGACTCCTCGCCTCCTAGTGACGATGTGCGGTATTACTGCTAG